ATAAATAAAAAATAAATAAAAAATAAAAAATGGCTTTAAAATTAACAATATGTGAAATAAAATATTGATTTACTTATACCAATATGTCTAATTGTAGCTCTTCCCTTTTTACTTCAGGCTGATGTATTAACATATTAAAAATTTGATTCAACTTTGGATAATGTTGCAGTATTTGCCTTCATGCCATGGAATCAAAAAGTTTCCTTGTATTCAGATTGGTCCTTGCACTATTCTCCTTCGTCATTTTAATGCTTAGGTATATTATGTTTCTATGTATTGACTTCATGAATATTTTTTCTGAACAGGAAACTTCATCCTTTAGGATGACTTGCTGTGTTCTTCTATAAAAGATAATAGAGAGAAGGCACATGAGGTTGAGAGCCAGAGGCCCCGCTGGATCCAAGGCATAGCTTTGGTTTCACTCCAGCTCGATACTCTTCTCCAGCTCGGTATTCTGTCAATTCCCTTAAACTTTTTAAAAATTTTACTTTAGTATAGTTGCCATACAATGTTACATTAGTTCCAAGTGTGCCACATAGTGATTTGACACTCTGTACGTTACTCAGTGCTCACCACAGTAAGTGTAGTTACCATCTGTCACTATACGGAGTCACTACAGTATTATTGACTATATTCCTCATGCTGTACTTTGCATTTATTTATTTCTTTATTATTTTTTGTACCTCTTAATCCCCTCTCCTATTCCACCCATCACCCCACACCCCTTTCCTCTGGCAACCACCAGGTCATTCTCTGTATTTATGAGTCTGTTTGTGGGTTTGTTTGATTTTTTCTTTGGTTGGTTGTTTTTTGTTATCTTTTGTAGATTCCACATATATGTGAAATCATATAGTATTTGCCTTTCTCTATCTGATTTACTTATCTTAGCGTAATGCCCTCTAGGTGCATCTGTGCTGCCATGCATGGCAAGATCTCATTCTTTTTTATAGCTGAGTGATAGTCCATTGGATATATATCACATCTTCTTTATCCATGAATTTTTCCATGGACACTTCGGTTGCTTGCATATCTTAGCTATTGTAAACAATGTTACAGTATACATAGGGGTAAGTATATCTTTTCAAGTTTTCATTTTCTTTGAGTAAATACCTAGCAGCATAATTACTGAGTGAGGTGGTATTTCTATTTTTAATTTTTTGTGGAACCTCCGTACCGTTTTCCACTTTCGCACCTTAGCTTCTTCTTTCTTTCTTTCTTTTTTTTTTTAAAAGATTTTATTTATTTATTTGACAGAGAGAGAAACAATGAGAGAGGGAACACAAGCAGGGGGAGTAGGAGAAGGAGAAGCAGGCTTCCCGCGGAGCAGGGAGCCCAATGCGGGGCTCGATCCCAGGACACTGGGATTATGACCTGAGCCGAAGGCTGATGCTTAACGACAGAGCCACCCAAGCGCCCGCACCTTAGCTTCTTTATTTGCAACACAAGCATGACCAGTCACTTCACAGGGATATAGAGCTAAATGGCACAGCTCTTATTCTTAAGAGGCAACCAATGTATTATTTTACTAACTGGTGAGTAAGTAATTATACTGTAGTATGGTAAGAACTCTGACAGTCAGTACACAAGAAACTGATATCAGGGGACTGAGCCACAAAGATCAAGTAAAACTTATCCTGATTACAGACTTATGTCTCTGGGGAAAAAGGGAACAGAGAGTGCAGATTCTGATAGTGGACTTCGGAGTCTCCGCCTACGTTCACGAACTTATGCTACCGCTTCCTAGCTGTGCGACTTTGGAAGACAGACTTTCTCTCTCAAAAGCTTCATCTACAGTATACAGAATGGGGATAGTGATACCTGAACTTCAGGGCTGTTGTCAGAATTAAATTAGATTACGTATGAAGGTGAAAAACTTTTGTGAAGTTTTTAGTGCATGTTGTTAGGCAGGGAAGAACATTTTAGGCAAAAGGAGCAATGCGTGCAAAAGTATGAAGGCAGGAGACAGCATCAACGGGGGGGAGCTGAAGCCAAATGGCTGCAGTATAAACATGAGATACAACTCTGGAAAGGTGGTCATGAACTAGATGCTGAAGGGACTTCATTGTGTGTGCTATGGTAAGGACTTTACATGGGAGCAGAAAGGTTTTAAGCAGGCAAGTGACATCAATATATATTAAATAACATTTTAGTAAAAACTTATGGATATGTTTAGGACTCACTGTTGCAAGAAGGAGATTTGTAGAACTGAAGAACACCGATCTATTTGAGCAGGACATAGAGATAACCTCTATTCTTAGAGTTAACTTAACCAGAAATAGTTTCCATATGCCATCTGTAACTGTTGTGGAGATTACTGTCATTATATGTCGGGCATTATGGAGAGCACACATTGAGCATTGGTGACTACACATTTTAAAATTTCTTCACTAACTGGAAGTGTGTGGTATCAACTAGACAAGAAGCCATCAAAGAGAACAACTTCATAAAAAGATTACTTCAATATGCATGATTCATATACAATGGTTAACTGGTATGATGGAGTCTACCATTTAGTTGAGATTCTTAAGAAACATTCTAGGATGTTCCATGTAGTCTATTTATTTTTATTTTTATTTTTTTTTTAAGATTTTATTTATTTATTAGAGACAGAGAGAATGAGAGAGAGAGAGAGCACATGAGAGGGGGGAGGGTCAGAGGGAGAAGCAGACTCCCCGCCGAGCAGGGAGCCCGATGCGGGACTCGATCCTGGAACTCCAGGATCATGACCTGAGCCAAAGGCAGTCGCTTAACCAACTGAGCCACCCAGGCGCCCCCATGTAGTCTATTTAAATATAACATGCAAATAAGAATGTAGCACTGTGGCAGATTGGAGCTAACACGGCGGTCACTAGCTGGGGTGATAAAGGAAACTTTTTTCTCTCTCTTACTTTGTCTACTTACCATTCTTTCTACAGTTCAAAAGCCCCTCATTTTATAACTCTTCCTTTGGTTTCTTCTTGTCTTATTATTCTTGCATCTCCGTCTCCTCCGTGGGCATATCTTCTTCCATATATACACCCCTGAAATGTAAGCATTTCCTTGGGCTTCCTCCTCTTCTATTTCTTGCACCACACAGTTTCCTAAGGGTGATATAATCCAAATCCATGGCTTCAACCTCACTTATACATTGATTAGTTCCAATCCCTGTTTTAACCTCTCTCCTGCCAGGTGTTTAGTCACTGGTACTCAGCTGTCTCTCAGACACTTCAGACTTAATCAATCTAAAGCTGAACCCATCATCTTCCTTCCCAAACTCCCCTGCTGATATCCTCCACCATCTATCTACCTAGTCACTCAAAAATAAAAGCTAAACAACCCCCTACCCCCGCACAAACCAAAACAAATAACAACAGCAACAAAGGAGAATAATTCTAACCACATCCCTTTTCTTCCCCTAAGTCTGATTAATTTTCCTTGTGATGATGTCTACTTTCTAATATTTTGCCTATCTTTTCATCCTTTCTGTTCCTACCATTGCATGATTTTCACATAGAAAGTCAGTGACATATCCTTGTAAGAGAGCTGTATATATATTTCTCCCCTATAGTTAGTTTATTTGGTGTTGACCCTGCCAAGACAAGTCTTTTCATCTACTTGCAGGAATGCCTCCTACTAAATATTACAAGTGTATACAACAATATACTAACTGTGGATAGGTTTGAGATTATGATTAGAAAAATTACAAAATTCATTCCTAATTGTTATAGACCTCAAGATACAGATAAAACCAATTTCTTATGTTGTCTTTCATCAAGGTCTTTGGTGTTAATTACTAAATATGGATCCATAAAGTGAACTTTTAACTCTTGTGGTCCTGTTGCAGATGGCTTCTGTGGTTTTTGTTCTTAAACATTGTTGTGTTTCATGACATAATGCCTTTTTAAGAAATTATTAAATAGGAAGTCTTTGCATTTGTGTTTATAACACTTTTGTTTACTTAGTTAACTAATCTTTTTGATAATTTGGATAAAACTTTGTTCATTAAATAGACTTCAGTCTGGGTCACTGCTAGGAAGAAAAGGAGAAAGTGTAAATTATGAAGATATCTCAGAACAGTAGAGTTTCCAACAATGGTAGTGGGATATAGTTCATGTTAGATCTCAGAGATAACTCAGTTGGCCCTAGAAGTCAGTAATAGAAGGGAAGCAGTAATGCAGAAATTCAAGGTATAAATTAATCCTGGCACCATGAAAAGATGTTGGAGGGCAAGAAAGGTGGAATAGATAGTCTGCAAAGTAGAATGGAATAGCCTTGAATTGAATTGACAGGTCAAGGCCACAGTACCTGGAACAGGACTCAAAGAAAGCAACTTTTCAGAACCTACCATCATGGGCTAGAACTGTGAGAATACATACTTTGAAATTCAAAACAAAGTTAGAGACACCCAGGAAAACGTGACCAATTGAACACACATGTTTATCTCCATGGGAGTCTACTAAACACCCATGTTTACTTCTAGGGATTCCATTAAAATTATAGTAAAGAATATAATAAAGATGTTGGCTCCCAAGTACAAGTTTGGGAAAGGAGGTGGTAGCAGTTTAGGGGCATCAACAGAATTTTGATAAATGGCAAGGAGCAGAACAGGTAATCAGTGATTTAACAATGCATTGTGGAGATGGTTGCCCAAGTGTAGAAATTTATTAAGACTAATTGAATTGTACACTTCAATGGCTCCATGTGTTGTCATGTACATTATATCTCAATAAAGCTGTTAAAATAATAAATTCATTATTGAAGTATCACATGCATACAGGAAGTTGCACAAATGTTGTGTCCAACTGCTAAATTTTCCCAAAATGAAAATGAAAATATCCCCAAGTTGTCCTATGTAGTTAACACTCAGATCACAATATAGAAAATATTAGCACCACAGATGTCCCCCTTATGCCCTTTCCTAAGCACTAATATCTCTTCCCCCAAGATATTTGTTATCCTGACTTCTAATATCACATCTTCCCAGTTTTTGTTTCTATAAATGGAAGCCATATACTACCTACTCTTCTGTAATTGGCTTTTTTGCTCAGCATTATATTTGTGAGGTTCATCCATGTTCTTGCACATTGCAGTTGTTGGTTCATTTTCCTTGCTCTAGAACATTCCATTGTATTAATAGGCCAAAATTTTTTCATCCATTATACTATTGATGGTTATTTGAACTACTAGGAATAGTACTACTGTGAATAATTTGTACATGTGGTTTTCATGCATTTCTGATGAGTATATATTTTAGATCATTGGGTATGCAAGTGTTCAACTTTAGTGGTTACTGCTAGCCAGTTTTTCAAAGTGTTTATCCTAATTTAAACTCCCAGCCTGTATGTGTATAGAACTTCCATTTGTCCCCACATTCTTGTCAACACTTAATATAATCATCTCTTTATTTTAGCCATTCTGGGGATTTTAGTATTTTAATTAATTGTGGTTTTAATTTGCATTTCCTTGAAGACTAATGAGACTGAGCACCTTCTCATATGCTAATTAGCCATTTGGATGTCTTTTCTTGTGTGTGAGAAATGGCTGTTCAAGTCTTTTGCCAATTTTTCAGTTGGGTTATCTGTTACTTATTTAGAATAGCTTTTAATTTACTATGGAAAAGTATTGTAACTATCTTCTCCCACTTGGTGGCATGCTTTTCATTCTGATAGTGGCATGTTTTAATAAACAAATTTTAATTTTATGCACTTAAATGTATAAATATGTTTATTTGTGGTTACTGCTTTTAGTTGGCTCTGTTTGAAGAATCTTTATTTCCCTAAGGACCTTCTACTGTGGGATCCTGATGGAAGACAGAACCCAGTCTTTTGTAACCCATGCATAATGTTTTAGTAATTAAGGGCCTCTGCCTGAATTGAGGATGTGTGAGGCAATCACTTAAAGCAATTTCTGCAAGTAGACCTTTATTTTGTCACTGTTTTCAAAAAGAAAATTGTGATTTTTTTTATTGGGTTATTTTATTTACCCTGTGCTAGAAATTTGAGTAATGCGATCTTATTATAAGACATCAACAACACTAGAAAGTAGATGTCGTTGTTTTTCACTTTACAGATGAGGAAACCAAGGCTAACTGAGTGACATTAGTTTCCCAAGTGGCAGGGCTAATAAATGGTAGAAGTCTGGTCTGTTTGATCCAAAGTCATGCTCCAAAGCCAGATGCCCTTATAGATTCCATGTGTGCAGGGAACTTATTTGTTTTTTTGCTCACCATTGTATCATCAGCAGCATATTTTGGTATTAAGTTAACATTTCTTAGAATTATTGAAGAAATGGGAATTTTTTATTCGCTTTGCTAATATGGAGTCACATTGGAAAATCCATTTTTGTGTTGCAGATAAAGGAAGACCTAGATCTAAAAAAAAAACAGAAAGTGGAAGAGGGAAACGATATTCATACAAATTACCTCAAGAATACAACATAGAGACTATAGTGGTTGCAGACCCAGCAATGGTTTCCTATCATGGAGCAGATGCTGCCAGGAGATTCATTCTAACCATCTTAAATATGGTAGGCAAACTTTAAAGTGCGCTTGGAATTTTTTCAAGAAAACTCTAAGGAAGAAATGTGTGAGTATAATGACATTCTTTAAAAATTAACTCATTACTATTCCTTTCTTTTACTGACATCAGTAAAAAAAAAAATGCTTTGGGTATGCCAAATTGCTCCATCTCAAAAGAGATATCAAAATAATAATTCACATCTTCTAGTAAAAGAAACCATTCTTATTGTTGATTTTGATGTGGCAAAACTCTCTGTTAGTCTTTTCTCCCTTTTTTTAATGCCCTTCTTTTCATTCTCTTATAAAAGGCCATTTGCTGAAATTAGAAATGTTATACTTCTTTGTATGTGTGGCCCCACCCAAAGTATTATGGGGTGGCACAAAAGTGGAGGTTGGTAATCCACTGAGCTCTTACATAGGTATGTAAAATTTGATGTCAGATATAATACTAGTTTGTGAGTAAGACCTAATAGCAGATAGCTCAGTTTCTAAGCAGCTGGATCACATGTGGCTAAGTTCAGTTAACAATTTCTGGACTGCAAAAATCTAGTTTGTACCTAGCATCTTACAGATGTTTACCACCAAATGAATCCTTTGACTTAATTGCATACCCTGCTGGTTAAACCTCCTGCAAGGCAGAATTAGAAGGTTGGAGTGAAGAGTGGTTCTTAGGGAAGAATGAACATAAATAAAAACCAAAGGCAAATGTCCATTTATGATTCCAGTTACCATATAAGGCAGGGTAGACACCCCTGATTCGAGGGTAAATATATGATGTTTCACAAAATTCTATTTTTACTGTTTTTGCTCATTTTTACTATTTGGCTTACTTGAGTGGTGAACAGATTTTCCCACACTTGTGTCATTTCTATGTTCAGCTACCCCCAGAGCGCTCCGCCAGCATTCTTTTACTGGGTTGACTAACATAAGCCTACCAACTTCAGTTTCTTCTACGTAGTTCTAGAACTGAAAGTAGAGGTTTGGTTTTACATTCTATTACAAATTAAAAAAATACCAATACCATATTTTACAAAAAATCAAGGTACCACATAAAAATTCACCTTGCTTTCCAGCATTACTACACACACCATGCTTTGGGAAAAACAGTTATAATGAGGATCTGATACCATTAATCAACAGTGGCCTGCAAGCTTGTCTTCCTGGGTAGCATTGAAGAGAAGAGCTTTGAAAACCCTTTTCCTTTTTGGCAGCTAGCTTGGGGAGAGAAAAAAAATACTCCGAGGAATGAATCGGGAAGTGGCATAATGCAGGCTTAGTTTTCAGGACTGTTTCTCAGAAGAAAGGAGGACACTGGCATTTTGTGGTCTTAAGAAAAATTCTAGGGTTTAGTTACTAAAATGCTTGTCTTCAGTATTGTGAAAGGCCATCCTTCCCTCTGTATCCCACTGAAATGCCTGGACAGTCAAGGCTGTGATGAGTATCTCAGAAGCTAGGTCTAAATTTCTTGGTATTTAAAATGAATTACCTAAGTTATTCTTGCCTATTAAGCTAATTTTAAAGTTACTTAAATGTTTTTAAAATATATATATATTTAATATATATATATATATATATATATATATATATAATCTCAACTAAATTGAGACTTCTCCCATGTCTGGGCCTTAAGAAAATAAATATGATTTTCAGTTTTATTTTAGGATTTTTATTTTTATTTGTTTTTAGGTTTTTAACCTTTTCCAACACAAGAGTCTTGGTGTGCAGGTCAATCTTCGTGTGATAAAGCTTATTCTGCTCCATGAAACTCCAGTAAGAAAGTCTTGAGTTTTTTGTTCAATTAAGTGGGTGAGAAGTTGTGTTCAGGTACTTTTAAGTAAAGTGAATGTGAGGAGTATGTTTTTTATTGACTTGAAAATCCAGAAATATCCACTAAGTCCCTTAAACTATACATGAAACTGGCCTTTAGATTTGGTTAATACCTCAGTTTTATTCTAAAAATGGAATGTTCTTAGTTTCCAAGATTCCTGACAACAGACCTTAACTTTCCAAGATGTAATTTTTAAAAGTGATTTTTAATGACAGTTTTATTTTCTTATTTAAACATGTGCTTTTGAAACCTTTTCTTATCTGTAATTCATTTTAGACAGAGAATATTCTGTGGTACTGTTTTAGTATGCTGCTTAACTAGATCTTTGGAAAACATTTGTTTCTAAGTTGTAGAAATAATTAAGTCATTTAAGTCTCAAAGTTCCACATTTTTAATACACTGCTCTTCTTTTTCAGAATAGTATGGAACAGATTTTGTAGTTATTTTACCCTCACAAAGTTTCAAGATTTTTAGCTCAGGCTAAATTAATTCTGAATGTCTTCCAGGTTCTAATTAATGTTGTTATGGTCAGCAGTCTGCTTTAGTAATTCATGATGTCTCCTCAGTTTTTAGTTTTTTGTATATCTGAGAATAATTTGCCTTAAAGTGAAATATCTTCTTTTGCAGGCAGGTCTATATATTGGGCACCATGGAGAGAAAATGCTAGAGAGTTTTTGTAAGTGGCAGCACGAAGAATTTGGCAAAAAGAATGATATACATTTAGAGATGTCAACAAGCTGGGGAGAGGACATGACTTCAGTGGATGCAGCTATACTTATAACAAGGTAAATTTTCCAAAGCCAATTAAATGACATTCCTAATTTGATGGCTGTGCTGTTAATTGGATTAATTTCTTCAGAGAATGCTTTTATTCCAGGTTTTGTGTTCCAAAAAACTTTTGGCATAATGATTTTTGTCATCTCCCTCAATTTATAATAACTGATTTCTGAACAGGCACATTTTGGATGGCATATTGACAAAACTTTTGGCTAGTTAATTCAAAAAAGATTTTTACCCTCAATTTCTGATATGAAGACATAGCCATTGATGATGATAAGTGAATTTTGGTGGAACTTCAACAGTCATCACCATATGAATAAAGCACCCAATATGTTAAACTCAGCAATTTATAAACTTAATGTTACCATCTGAGAAAAAAGTTTCAATTAAACCTCTAGCTAATTAATTTTTGTTTACATTGTGAATGTCCCTACTACTAACACATATTTGTAATGCAGCATTAAGGGTAAATATAAAAAGGTGAAATAATGAGCAACAATATACTCTATAAGAGCACTCTATGTTAGTAATAATAAATTTCTTGCTTAGAGTTATTAAAAATGACTAGTAATTCATTATTCTCTGGCACGTTAGTATCAATAGTATTGACATTTCACATCACAGAATACATAGTAACATCTAACCATGATTTTCTGTATTGGGTCTATTGACTTCATGATAGCTTCTTGCTGCTGAATTATATAAAAACTATTCTAGTTATAAATTATTCATAAAGGTGAAAAAAATATATTGCAAGAACACACTTGGACTTCCACTTCCAGCTATGTAGGTGGACCTGCTACTGGACTTATACAATAAACAATGATAAAACTGAAGAATATTCATGAGGCAAATGCTTTAGTCATTGGAGCATGAGCAGTGCAATACTGCAATCTCTGAAAGAAGGAAAATTTATTAAGTGAGCCCCACAGTCAACCCAGCTTCTTGCTGGGACAATTCTTTGGTGCAGCAAGCTGGAATCTAGGTAAAGCACAGCGGTCCTGCTGAGGATACCATAGATGAGGGTCCCATGCAAGGAATGGTGCCAAGAAGTCCATGTGTAGACCATCTGTGAGTACTTTGCAAGGCTGGTCTGAATATATATAGATAGGAACTTTCCAAAAGCATCAGAGTGCTATAACTATGGAGGTTAGATTTTTAAAAGATGCTAGGAATTGAGTAGATTCAGGCCACAAGAGTGGAGCAACTTTATTAATACCTTGTCATCACTCCTGGTACTTAGCTGAGAAAACAAGAAGGCCGAGCCTTCATAGTAGGGACACTGACCTGGAGAAATGTCTACTCTGACCTACCCTAACAAAGTCTGAAACCAAGCACCTATAAGATAATTAGGGAAGATAGAATTTGGAGGTTGAGTCTCACCAATTTACAGAAGCTTGGGAATTATCTTGAGCTTTAGATAGATCCTCCCTACCAAGGAATAAACTCAAACCTTGCTAAGTTCAGAGTGACCTGCCAGTAATTGAACTGCCTTCTGAAACAAGAGTCAGCCCTCTTCAGAGGAAGATAACAGAATCCTGAATCTCTTTAACATTATCATCTACAATGTCTCAAACATAATAAAAATTAGCCAAGCAAAGAAACATGAAAATGTGACCCATGGTCAAGGAAAAGTAGTCAATAAAAACTGACCCTGAATTAGTTCAGATGTTGCATTTACCGTTCAAAGTATTGTAATTGGAATCTCAACAGAAGAGAGTGAGAATGGGTAAGAAAAATTATTTGAAGATGTAATGGCAAAATTGTTTCCCAAATTGATGGAAAAAAAAAAACATAACCCTTATAGACCTAGGTGTATCTTAGGTAAATGAGCGAAAACCAAAGGTACCGAAAATAAGTTTTAAATTGGCCAGAGAAAGAGATACGTTACACAGAGGAAACAATCCTAAGATCGATGACTGACTTCCTATCAGAAAAAAATGAGTCCAAAAGACAATAAAAGTGGTATCTCTAATGTATGTATCAACAAAAATTCTCAATGAACTTTTTAAAAAGATTTATTTATTTGAAAGAGACAGACAGAGAGAGTGGAAGGAGGGGAAGAGGGAGAGAAAGAACCTCTGAGCATGGAGGTTGATGCAGGCCTGACTCCCTGCTGAACATTGAGCTTGGTGCCGGGCTCAATATCAGGACCCTGAGATCATGACCTGTGCTGAAATCAAGAGTCAGACGCTTAACTGACTGAGCCACCCAGGTGCCCCTCTCAATGAATTCTTAAACGTGCTTTCTTAATCTATGAAAGGGTATCTACACATGTATACACAAAAATATCTACAGCTAACATCACACTTAATGGTGAAAAACAAATGTTTTCCCATTAGGATTGGAAGCAAGGCAAGGATGTCCACTCTTATACTTCTATTCAGTTTTGTACTGAAGATCAGAGCCAGTATAATAAGGTGGGAAAAAGAAAAAGAAAGGTATACATATTGGGAAGAAAAAATTAAAAGCATTTCTCTTCACAGATGATACACCTCGGTACAAAGAAAATTTTAAGAAATAAAGCAGCAAAATTGCCAGAAGTTATAACTGGATTTTTCAAGGCCACAGAATATAAAGTCAATTTATAAAAACAATTTTATTTATATATATAGTAGAAATGAACAGTTGGAAAAATTTTATGGTAACCTCCAAAACCATAAAAGATATAAGAAAAATAAAAAAATGTGTAAAACCTCTAAAATGATACCTCCATAGCACTGCTGAGAGAAATTAAAGATCTAAATAAAGGTTTTTATTTATTGGAAGACTAAATATTATCAAGATGTCCATCTTCCTCACATTGACTGAGAGTCACTATAATCTCAATGAAAGTTTGTGCCAGCTTTTTTTTTTTTTTTTTGTAGAAATTGGCAAGCTGATTCCAACATGTATTTGGAAAAAGAAAAGATATAGAAGAGTCAAAACAATTTTGTAAAAGAAGAATAAACTGAGTGGGCTTATATTATCTGATTTCAAAACCTATTATAAAGCTTTGGTAATCAAAACAATGGGGTTTGGGCAGAAACTTGGTAAAGATGAATGAAGTGGAATAAAGAATCTGGAAATATAACCATACATATATGGTCAGTTGACTCTCAAAAAACCCACCAATATAATTGAGTGATGGGAAGATAGTCTATCAATGAGATGACTCTACAACATCTGGGTAACCATGCGAAAAAAAATGAATTTCAACCCTGCTTTACAACTTACGTGATGTTAATTCGTAATGGAGCATAGAAAGCTACATGAAAGCTACAGCTATCAAATTCTTAGTAAAAAAAAAAAAAGAAAGAAAAATGGAGAATATCTACATGACTATAGGGTGGATAATAATTTCTTGGATAGTATACAAGAAAAGCACTAATCAAAAATTCTTAAAAATAATCATTTGGACTTCTTCAAAATTTAAACCATCTTATGTCCAAAAGACATTGATATGAAAATGAAAAGACAAGCCCTGGATTGGAGAAAATAGTGGCAATACTTCTGTCTACCAAAGCGTTTTTATTGGAAATTATATTTGTATGTATGTGTATACACATATATAGTATATAAATATAAAAAAGATTAAAACTCAGTAAGAAAGATGATCAAATAGAAATGACCTGTGTTTGTCCAAATAGTGGCTGGTGATTTTGAATTGATTAAATGACCTCTCTGAGTCTTGTCATTATCAACAAAATGAGGATAGTAGTACCAGGTCAAAAATATAAGACATCTTGTATAATATCTACCAAACAGTGAATGTTCTATAATTTTACTCCAAACAAATAATTGTGTAAGATCCTGTGTGTAGACTCGTACTCATGTGGAAGACCTACTCTCAGAAAGACCATTTGTTGTATTATTATAAGTGTTTTTATATTTATAGTTTTGTCAGCCCATAGTTAAAATTCACTTTCCTTTTTTATAAAATGATAATTTTGTAACATTGTGTGTCAACTACACTCAAAAAAATTTAGAAAGAATTATAATTTCATCCCACATTATCTTAACACATTTAAGAATCATCACTAGAATCATCATTTTATTTTGTCTTATATTGCTAGGGAAAACTAGCAACAAGGGAGGTAAGAGGGATTAGTTAAGAGTGGCTTTTAAACCTTTATAACATATTTAAAAAATAGTGGACACAAGAGTTTCTTTTTTCAGGACTTTGAAGAGAAAAGTGGTATTAGAAATGAGGAATGAAATTAACATCACAGTATTGGTGGGGGAAGACTTGCATGTAGAGAGTATGATCCTAATATTATATGTATTTTACATGTATTTAGTTATATACAATGTATTTAGTTATACGAATACATAGGAAATAAACTTTAAAATGTTAACTATAAGTATTCCCAGATAGTGGGATTATAAGCTAATGTTTTAACTTTATTCTTGTATTTCTTAAATTTCTATAAGAAATACACTACATTTTAATGAGAAAAATATATGAATTAGTAATCAAATTATGAGTATCATCCTCTTCAGTCTCAGAAGCATTATTTTGAACACCTAACAACCGTGAGAAGGAAGACAGATCTCATCAGGTGACAAGTATGTAAAACTCATTTGTGGCTAATGCATTCTGACATGGTTATTTCTAAGGGGTCTTTTAGTTATGGATAGAAAATCAACGTTTCATATAACACCCAGTGCTCCATTCAATATGGAGCACTGGGTGTTATATGCAAACAATGAATCATGGAACACTACATCAAAAACTAATGATGTAATGTATGGTGATTAACATAACATAATAAAATAAAAAGTAAAAAAATGAAAAAAAAAAAAGAAAATCAACGTTTCATTGTCTAAACAGGATTTCTGTTCAAAACCCAATGCAGAAGCCTTTGTTGAGGGGTAAACTTTGCTATGGTTTTGCTGTCATTTCATGTTTTATGGAAAAAAAAAATCTTTGTACACCTCTTCAATCTTTTAGTAGAAATGTTGATTTCAATTTTTTGTACTCTGATAGCTAGAACTTAGAATAAGACCTAATAGATTGCTTTTGATTTTTGGATCACATGGGAATAAATAGAAATAAAATAGAAAATAGAAAAATTTTTGGTTGAAAATAGGAAAAAACTATCAAAGGATATACACACATAAAATACTGGTAGCTGCTGACTAATAATTCTCCTTTTATTTCCTCCTGGGAATCAGGCTTATTTGAAGGATCCCTGTTTCTCCATATCATTCCATATCAGTGCCATAACAATGAAAATCAGCCCACCAGAGGGAATGTGTTATGTCTATTCTAAGTGGCCTAGCACCATTTGATCAGTAAAGTCTAAATTAAAGGTCTGAGTAAATGAAGTAGAAGACTCCCTTTTTAGTTAGTGTAAACATAAAGGTGATCAAATCTTTAGCTTTGTAAGGAAGTTATGAAAGATAAAATAAAAATTTAAATCTCCATGGATTCCATGGTCTCGTCCACATGAGACAAGCTAGCCTCAGAATGACTAGTTTCTAATATATTCTTATCTTAGATAATTATTAAACATTGTTATGTTATGTGAGCACATTAGGAAGGAATTTTAGATAGCTGTTAATTTGGGTTTCAAGTAAAACAAATAATGTTTTCATAAATCCAAACCTATCTGCCATAATAAATTTATTAAATTGTTCTGTGTGATACAATGAAGTAAATATTTTAAAGCTGACCCAGTGCTTATGGGCTCATAGTAACAGAAACACAAAACATGTCCTCTCAGCTATCAACTCTATGATTTCTTAGTGTAACTATCACAGTTCTCCTTGAAATCGTGAAGAAGACATAAGTTTCTTTGGAAAATACTCTTAAATTTAGACTTTAATTTTGTTAATGCTGCTTTGCTTCTCATATTTACTGAAATGTTTTTGGTTTATGTGCATGCAATACTTCTGAAAGTTAGTTTTAAACTAATGCCATTGGCAAGTAAGATAGAAAATTTAATAAGATATACAAATGGTAGAAATATATTAATTTGATACAACTCATAGAATAATTTCTGAATGAATCATTTATAGGTATATCCCAGGGCACTATAAAACTGCACAGTGAGACTTATTCTCAGATGCATCTTCATTCTTGGAAATTAAAGGCTACATTTCATTTTTTTTCAATATAAATCAGAACTTGAACAGAATTTATTGGCCTTCCCAGTTGCCAGATTCTAACAGTATCATTTCCATAAACTCACATTATGAAACTCTGTGATGCAGTCTTCAGGCGTGCTGAGCCCACACGAGCCAAGGATGAGAGAATTTCAATCTGCATAATCACAGGTCTAGGCAGCAAACAAATCACTATCCCCCATCACCCGCCTCTCAAAACTTTGATTATTATGAAGTTAAAAATACATTATTTGGGCCCTCTTGGAAGAGGTTGACAATGGAAGAATTGAAGATTAAGAATTACAGTCTGATCAGAGTTTTTTAAAATGATGCTCACAGTTTATTCTTCAGTAGTACTGAGGGGTACATCCAGTGCTTTTGGAGAAAAGACCTTGCATTTTTTTTTTTGAAATAATTTGCTTTATTCATTTGTTTGTTGAGTAGAAACTGGCTGGGTCAAGGACTCTAAGTGCCCTTGAAAATAAGCAGTGCATTTGCCATAGTTTTATCATGTTGTTTAGTTACAGATGAAGTCCCTTGTTTCACATTATGTAAATCAAATAGCTATGTTGCAGCCTCACGCATTATGATATGATGTATTGTATGTTTAGAAAAAGAAAAAAAATCCCTTTCCATCTACATCTGAATATACTTTACACTCAGTGATTCTTGGCCCTACGGTGAAGATTGTGATTTTTATGTGATTCTTTAATTTTCTGCATTACCATATTATTCAGTATCATCTGTCGTGGGTGTTTCTTTCTCCATTTGTTTGCTGGCAAAGGGAATTGCAAAATAGAACTATTCATTATTTAATACAATTCCCCAGGCCTCTAACTCACTGATTGTGGGGCCCTTATCACATTACAGAAATGACTGTGTGTCACCCTCTTCTTTGTCTTCAGAGTAGAAGCCTTTTTCACTTATCTTTGTGTTCTTCCCTTTTATCCACTGCTTGGCATATAAGAGGCACCTAATGAATCCAACCACATCTAATTGTTTAGGTTGTGCACTACGCAACAGTGGAGGGAACTTTTTACATTGTTGTGTATGTAAATGTACCCCGAGAATTAAGCAGTGCACAGCCTATACATCCAGGCATGGTATCCCTGTGATAAATTTGATTTTTATATCTTCTGATGCAGAAAAGGGCTAAATATATCTGATCATTTACTTATAATAAAAATGTCAGCAAACCTTTTCCATTCCTCTTCATCAGTAGTTATATTCAGGTTCTGAATATGTTCCACCACCATGGGGAGATATTTTCCTACATCAGTTTTTGTTGGTTTTGAGCCACAGAGACCAAATTTGCCCAAGTTGAGCACCGAAAGAGGTGTCTCTGGAATTTTTTGGCAGAGGGAGAAAATTCTATGTAGTACTTAAAATCAGAGGAAGAATTGAGAAACTACACATCAAGAAAGACAGTGAGGATGGAAACTCTAGAAATGTCAACCACTAGATTTGGATGATTCAGGGCCATTCGTATTTTCCTACTGTATTATTCACTTTAGATCCTCTGAAAAGAGTGGGTTTGGGTCAGGATAGGGTGGGGAGGCAAATTCTGTGATTAGAAGCTGGTGAAATATGATATATTTGGAGGTCGTTGCTCAGTGGAGAGGTGAGTAGGGGATAGTTAGGGTCTTCCTCAGTGGCTGTCAAGCAATCACTTGGATTTTAAAAATTTTCACTTATAATCCTGGGAACAAGTGTTCCAATGAATGTTTTGTTCAGATGTATAAAGTTTTTAGTTTTGTGTCTTGAATATTTGAAAAGGGTGCTGTACACTGGTTTAACTTAGAAGTTTAGGGTATAGTATTTCAAGT